ACCCGTCCAATGCTTTCAGGTTTTTCATGGTGGTCTAGCTTCAACTGACTCATGATCGTAACCATTTCAATTACTATAATATCCACAAAACCCATCTGATATTAAATTTTTATTTATAAAAAGAATATAAAATATATGGTCAAGTGGATAAATTCATTTGACAGAAATCTGTTCAAATATCATATCCATATTATCTAAATGAATATCATCTTGAACAGTAAAACATAGAACAATAAAGAGGAACAACAACAAGAACAAAACTCATCAAGATTCAAATCAGTTATTAAGTGATGGTAGAACAGTTTGTTTTGTTCAACAACAACAACAAACAACAAAAAAAGGGATAAATAAATGAAGTGATTCACTTTTCTTTAATGAGCAATGCATCATCATCATCATCATCATCAATATTCTCATCATTGACACGAATATTATCAATAGTACCATTATTATTCTAATCAATCATAATAATAATGTCAAAGAAATTTATACAAAATTCATTCTAGATTATCATGACTGGGAAATATTCGAAGGAGAAGAAGAAAACTACATTCAAAATTGAATTTGAAGTAGATCCAATGTCTCGCTTGGTAATCTGTTTCAAGCTTTTTCAAGGAAATATGGAATCAAACATCACAATTATCGAATATAAATAAGATACATGGTTCTCCAACTCCGCCTGGAGTCCCCCCGGGGGCTACTACCGTTCCCAGGCCCGGATAAAGGAGGAGGGTTGGGCATGGGGATAGCGACCCCCTTCCGTAGAAAACTAACTCGCTAAAAAAACGCTAACCAGAAAACATCGCTAACATGATTCTCCGGTTCCTTGTATACTGAATAGGTCATTCAATCAATGTTAGTAATGTTTAAGGTAGTCAATTTGCTTTAGTGTGTAAGAGACGTGGTTTGAAATGAAAAGTGTTCAGATAACGGATTGTGTGTATACGTAAGTGAGAAGAAGAAATTTCGTCGACTATATATTGTCTCCGGTCGATGAATATTAAGAAAACATAAATATGTGATCTTAACACATTTTGTTTCACACCACAAGTCTCCTACACACTAAAGTAAATCGACTACTTTAAACATTGTTAACGTTGATTGGATGACCTATTCAGTATACAGTGAACCAGAGAACCATGTACTTACTTACTTACTTACTTACTTACTTACTTACTTACTTACTTACTTACGCTTGTTACTCCTCATGAAGGAGCATAGATCGCTCACCAGCATTCTCCATCCAACCCTGTCATCGGCAATCCCTTCCAGCTCTTTCCAATTGTTTTTTTTTCATATCTGCTTCTATTTACCGACGTAATGTGTTCTTTGGCCTTCCACTTTTTCACTTCCCTTCAGGATTCCAAGTTAGGGCTTGCCTCAGAAAACCATGTACCTTATTTATATTCGATAATTATGACGTTTGATCCTATATTTCTTTGAAATAGCTTGGATCAGATTGTCAGGCGAAACGTTAGATTTACTTCAAATTCAATCACTGAGATTTTACAAATACATTCTCTCTCCTGAATGTCACACATCAACTCAGTGCCCAAATATTGTGAAACTATTCGATGAAATCTAGACGAAAGTTCTCTTATATTAGAACAAAACTACATTTTGATACGCAATTGTAAATCTTACTTTAGGTTCCGTTTAAATGTGTGTTTTTTTAACTGGTAAATTACGTTGATGAATCTTCTACTGTCGAATAAATCAGTCACTTAATTGATTCTATTTACCTATGAATAAGGAAAAATCGGATATTGTAGTTTGAAGATTAAGTATTAATCAGTATTTACTTATTTCTGTTTAGTTCTAACCTATGTGTTAAAAAGGTGAAAGAGTAATGGCAGATAAAAGTTCGATTTACCTTCTACTACTTGGACCGGAAGACACACTTTTCTGTTTAGAATTTACCGATATGTGATAATTAATATCAGAAGGGATTTTTGTGGATATTATAGTGATTTCAATAGTTGACATCATGAGTCAATTGAAGCTAGATCACTATGGAAAACCTTGAACCACTGGATGGCTGTTTCATCCTAGTATGGGACTCCTCAGTAGTGCGCATCCACGATCCCGCATCGAACCCAGGATCTATTAGTTTAGCGCGCGAACGCTTAGCCTGTAGACCACTGAGCCGTCATCCAACGGACGAAACGGCTGTTCAGTGCTATCAGGTTTTCCATGGTAATCTAGCTTCAATTGACTCAACAGTTCAACTATTAAATTACTACCATCTTCAAAAAACCCCCTTTCTAATAAAAAATAAAGTAAACAAAAACAATATGATAACCACTCTGGATAACAAATCAGTAGTACTAGGGTAAGTTAAGGGTAAGAACAAATTATTTTGTGAACACATAAATGGGGTTTCGGTTTCTGTATAGCCAAGGCTTCAATAAACTTTAGTATACACTCTTGAAGGCTTTTGTATAACACTAAAAATGCTAACTTGATATCAACCTCATGATCAGTGTCAACTAAATGTTTCACAATGAACAAAGATATCTGTCTACTCTATGTTCTTATTTGACCATTAAAATTTATTTGTTTCTGCAATTATTTAAGTATATGCTCCATCAGCCTTAGTTGCTAATCACGATCTATCCTTCCTATATACGTGTTGATAGATACAATGAGATATGACACAATCGCTTATGTACTGTTTCAGTATTTTATATCAGCTGATATAGGTGAATTCAAAAAAGGGGAAGTCGATTTTCTTGTTATAGAAGGCTGATATGGCTGAATAAGTTCCAATTAATAAGATTAAACGGATCATATACTATTGAGAAACAAAAAAAAAAGATAAAAACAAATGTAAAGTTTACGAATGAACAAGATTAGCGTAAGTGAATGGTCATTGTCTGGGCTAATGTTCATTATTATATATTCATTCAACCATTGACATTAAAACTGTTAACGCATTCTTAATCTTCAAATTTGGCAATAACTACTCAGTCAAGCGTTAAAAACATATATAATTAGTTACTAATTTGATCTATTAATTATAACACCAGACGCGCAATGCTGAGTAGTGTTGAGGATAGTTGGAAGAAAATTAGAGGCGGTCAAACTAAAAACGCGGCATCAGTGCTTGAAGTCACTAACTTCTAGGTGGAGACATAATGGTAGATACAGACTACTTGGTTGATATCCGCGTGACTATCGTAACTAAGGCTTGGATAGTCTGGGTGACATGGTTCGGAATCGATCACAATGGCGTAGATGTATAAATTTGTAGTGTCGGTTATTATGTTAAGCCCATATTCCGTAATCTTGTTTTCTCGACAGGCCAATCTACTCATTCTAGTTGGGTCATATTCTGGCCTTGTTAATTATTCGCTTACCAACTGTGTGTACATTTCTTATCCCATTACTCATCACATGTCTGTAACTTACTTTTGTGTAACCATAAATATTGGTTAACGCTTGGTTAAATGGAGTTGGCTTGCCCTCCATTTCCATTGCGCGTTGCTTCACTTCACTTTATTCCATTCGCTTCATATAAAAAATATATGTATTCACAAGTCCATTCTCGTTATTCGACTTATTTAATTCCGTTATTGACTAACGCGATTCAAGTCGATGACTATATACGAGAATAGGCGACATAAATATTTTGAATAACAATCATTCGTACGATCAATTTGGAGTCAGATCCCGGGCTATTAAACACTCTCTGTTTTCCCTTAAATTATGAGATTAAAATCGCTCCATATCTTTAATTCTACCAACTAATTGTTTCTTCATATACTATATCCTTATATACAATCTTTCTTTTATATATTGCTACCATTGAATTAGTTGAGCGTGTCGAACGCTTCACTTATCTTGGAAGTCTCATCAGCCCTTGTGGTTTAGTATGTGACGAAATCTCAGCACGGATACAGAAGGCTCGACTAGCTTTCGCCAACCTGCGTCATTTATGGCGTAGGCGAGATATCCGTCTATCAACCAAAGGACGTGTTTACTACGCAGCAGTTCGTCCCGTCCTACTTTATTGCAGTGAAACGTGGCCGGTAAGAGTAGAGGATATTCGTAGGTTACTATTATTTGATCATAGGTGCCTTCTACATATTGCTCGTATATCCTGGGACCACCGAGTAAGTAATGCAGTTGTTAGGAAACGGGTACTAGGTAAGGATGGCAAATCAATTGATGAAGTAGTGAAACTTTGTTAGTTGAAATGACTAGGACACGTGTTACGTATGCCCAACCACCGACTGCCGCGATGTGCGATGTTTCATGGTGTAGGAGTAGGTTGGAAGAACGTTAGGGGTGGCTAGACCAAAGCGTGGCACAAACACGTGAAGTCACTGACAAGTGGACTGAGCCGTGTTGGTAGGTGTAGACTATCCGGTTGGGGACCGCGAGATGATAGTAACCGATGGTTAGAGACCTTGAATGACATGGCTTGAAATCGTTTGCAATAGCTTAGGTGCATCCATTCATTGCGTTCTCCCAAATTCTAATCTTCTGAATTCTTCATGTCCCTTTTTTCCTTTTTCTAAATTTATTTCACTGGATTATACTCTTTAAATAACATCTTCAAACCCTAATCTTTCCGATTACTGCTTATACTCTTACCGCCTCTACCACTACGGGATTCGAATCGAGAACTGCATCTCTGTGTTAATGTGGTGTGGCAAGTCGAACTGATGTACATACGTACAAAGTTCTACGTTGTTACTGACTAATTGACTGACCACCATTGAATTAACTACTTCTATGAATCCGGTGTTCATCTTGTTATGCTAATGAGATAATGGCAACTTGGACCAATCCATATATATGTCTGGTTCTACATTGTAACTGACTGACTGAGGATAAATATAGAAACAAAGTACGCACATATTTATATATATATATATATATATATATATATATATATATATATATATATATATATATATATATATATATATATATATATATACACAACAGTAACAATAATCATAATAATCATAATAATAGTAATATTGAATTACCTAAATATGTTTTTGGTACTTGATCTCCATAACCAACTGTTGTCATTGTTACAATAGCCCACCATAAACCAACTGGTATAGATACAAAATCATTTTGTGGATTATATTGAAATCGTTCAGCATAATACATTAATGCAGCGAATATAACAATGAATACCATTAAAAAAAATACTAATAATACTAATTCTTTAAGACTTGCACGAAATGTATGAATGAGAATTTTAAACCAGCTATATGGCGGGTTAATTTAAATAATCGCATAATACGTATAATAGAAAAGAATTCTAATGCTTCATAATTAGCTTCATTGGACATAATTTTAGTTAATATTAAATCTACATAAAATGATAATAAGGCTAATAAATCAATTATATTAATAGGGGATTTAATAAATTCTAATTTACATGGTGTTACTATAAAACGTATTATAATTTCAAATGTAAACCATCCATTTGATATACATTCTATATAACTAAATAGAATATGTGATTTAATCATACGTTTACGTATTGTCCATGAAGGATCTAGATTGAATGAAGATGATGATGATGATGATGATATAGAATGTGTATTATGATGAGTATGGATATCTGAATACATTGATGACGATGATGGAGATGACGACGACGACGAGGATGATGACAGTGTAGAATAAGGTGTATATGAAAGTGATGTTTCATAATTTGTTAATAATTGATTTGAATCATTATATAATAATGGTATACGTAGATTGGATGATGTTTTTAAACAAAAACAAAGTATTGATAGAACAATGAAAAATACAGAGATCACAGCAATAATCTAGAAGAAAAAGAAAAGTCGAATGTAATTTACAAATAAGCTTATCATATATACAATGGTCAAATTAAGGTAGATAAATATAATTCGATTAGTATCAGAAGGAGTTTTTGTGGATATTATATGAATTTCAATAGTTGAGATCATAAGTCGATTGAAGCTAGATCACTATGGGAAACCTCGTGTGGGACTCCTCAGTAGTGAGCATCCACGATCCTCGCGCTCGAGTGCTTAACCACTAGACCACTAAGTTGGCCGACATCCAACGGTGTTAATGTTTAACTTCAACTAATCCACGAAATTGAGCAACACATCCACCAATGTCATCAGGGAGTTACTATCTCACAACAGATCCGGTTGAATTCCACTAGTCACTGCTTCTCGCTAATTAAGGGTGTAAGTACATTATTTAGAGTAGATCATTCAATAGTTAAGTTTACTAAAGTTGATCAGTGGTGTTTTTTACACATCGTCTCAGTTTTTTAATCCGAATGGTTACTTCTTCAGTCAAATTTTCTTGGTTTTTTTTTTTTGAAGGAATTTGAGTCTTATAGGCTTTAGCAGCAAAGAAACAAACAAAACAAAACAATTCCTAACCCAATCAATAAATGTGTCATGATCTCAATAATTGAAATGAAAAAATAAAAAAGATTAGTCAGATACTAGTACTATCATGATTTTCCATTAAATAGGCTAATATCAAACTGTTCCCTATTCTTCATTAGACACCTTTTGCTTATCTTCTCTGAAAGGTATTCACAGATATCAACATAAATTAAGTTCAAAAAACTGATCATAAAAAAATGAAAATAAATTAACACTGAATAATCATAATAAAATTGTTTACAAGATCATCGATAGATACAACACATTGGTATCTATCACATGAATATCAAATTATCAACTTTGTTTTTTTTTTTTCTTTTCTCTTTCTTTTAAAAGGTGAATTTTTCAGATTACATCATGTTTTCAAAACAAAACAAAAGTGGTGGAGGTGGTGGTGATGGTGGTGGGAGGGGGAATAGACATGTCCTAAAATATTCAGGGTTATATATATATATATATGTATTGCATAATTGTGTGTATAGAAATATCACCGTATACATATACATATATACGTGTACATGAATATAGAGGTTATATATATATATATATATATATATATATATATATATATATATATATATATATATATATATATATATATATATATATAATGTTCCGTATTTCTAGGCTATATTGAACTTGTTTTACAATGATAAAAACAAGCAACGGAAGTTGATATACACTGGTATGTCATGTAATAATAATTGTATTCAAAAAACAGAGTTAGATACCATGGAATCAATTAGAATGAAATAAGAGATTATTCTAGTTCTAGTAGACTGATTTACAAGTTGATTATAAACCTTATACATTTACAATTATATTAGTACATAAAAAACTATACTGATTATAATGTAGGGAATGTTCAGTAGGATTTTGGTCTAGACAAATAGATAGATATGAATATTTCCGGTAACAGTTTATTCATCATTGATAAGAAACAATAAGAATCAGACCTTAATAGACTATAACCATAGAATTGTAATGTATAATACACACATATATAGATAGATACCTTAGGAAATGATAAAATATAAAACTGTTTTACTGATCAATATTCATAAAACTGTATATGGATGGAATGTTATTATTCTTGATGAGAATAATGGCGAAGATTTGTAGCTTAGGTGACTGATTTCGGTGGAGTTTTGTTGTCTGAGTTGGATCATTTAGTTCTTGAGATTTTCATTGTTCTTCTTCTGAACGACATCATCAGCAGAAGAAATTTCAGGTTGAATTGATATATATCCCGATGAGAATAAAGAATGGTAATTGTTAGGATCTATTTTTGGACTAATACGATACATATGTATTTCGATTGTATAATTGTTAAGTAACTAAACTATTCATATCTGTCTTCCTCTTGTCATAAGCTTTATTTTCACTTATAAACTGTTATTATTCTTGAGTTATAACCAGTCTATCAATTACTATCTCCCACATTCACAGTCACATTTGGCCAAATCTTGAACAAACGTTATTTTCCATTTGATTATTATTAGCTTTATTCAATAAAATAGTCATGTTACAGTATAGAATTCTCAGTGCAAAGTATTTCAATAAGCTTCCTTTTCTTATTTCTTGATCGATCCTGACGATAACATATTAAGTGATTGCCAGTTATATGTTAGTAGTTCGGGAATAGACATCTGAATAATGTTCGTTCTATTCAATGCATATTGCCAACCATCATGATGCCGCTGATTGTAGCCTTTCGTAACCTGTACAGCGAAATGTCGTGAACTTTTCATAAACGTGCCTGAATAGATTGTGCGCTCAATAGAAATAATGATGTGTTAAAACAAATAAGAAAACAAATAACTTGTTGAAATATCTAGATGGCAGGAACAGGTAGTCCAGATATTCAAGCAGGCCGCCTGTCTTTCTGATTGGTTTATAAACCTAGTATGTTTTAAATACATGATTCATATCGCAGAGTCTGAGATTGTTGTTTCTGAACTTAACAGGCAGGGCTAGGAAGGAACCAGGACCGATATGGACTGTGGATGTTACATTCTTTGAACTAGTTGGTTTAATTCATAAGCTAACTTTATTGTAGATATCAATTTGAGTAATAATAATGATAATCATAAGCCTCCATTTCTAGTTAAATTGAGTTTTACAAGGAAAATTATTTGATAAACACTAAATGAGTTCATTCATATGACCTCATAGTGACTGGTTATCTTTTATTGATTCTATTATTTTCATGTTACTTATTGATTGTGTTTATTTGATTGACCTCTGACCATATGGTTAATAAACATTTTCCATACGCTTATTGTGATTAACTAAATCTATATCATTATGCTGACTGATTAGAGATTGATATATTATACTACTATAAATTGTTTGTTATTCATAGGATTTTTTTCCCTGTTCATTTTTGCCCGCATTATTCCACTGACTGTATTATAAGTAAACGCACATAATATAACTTAACATGTAATCTTCAGGGTATTAATGATCACTGACAGATCCAGCTTTATATTCACCAATGAGCTATCCGGTTTTCTACATAATGAATACGATGTCAAGTCAATTAGACTAGTAAACATATTAGAACTTGATCGATAGAATTCGATTAGCGTTCATGAACCGATTAGTGTTAGAGCACTATTTAAAACCTGGAAGGACTGAACGGCTGATTCATCCTATTATCGAACTCCTCAGCAATGCACATCTACGATCCACGATAAATAAATATTATTGAATACAGTCTAATGAATATCTAATTGCAAACTATATTGTCTACTGCTACCACAACAACAACAACAACAACAACAACAACAACAACAACAACAACAACTACTACTACTACTACTACTACTACTACTACCACTACTACTACTACTACTACTACTACTACTACTACTACTACTACTATTACTACTACTTCTACTACTACTACTTCTTGTAGCTCAGCAGGACAACTTTAATGAACTTTTGTTCTCTGAGCTGGATGGTTTGGTCGTGAAGCTTTCATCGTTCTTCTGAACGACATCTTACTTACAAAGAAGTAAACAATGACAGGTTTAAGATCAACAAGAACCAATCAACATCAAGGTGTACATTATTCAGATATCGATTCCTGAATTGCTAATATCTAATTGACGATCACTCAATATGTTATCGTCAAGATCGATCAAGAAATGAAGAAAGAAAACTTGTTGAAGTACTTTGTGTTGAGAATTTTCCATTGTACCAAGACTAAAAAATTGAATAAAGCTAATAATAATAATATATATTTGCCTTGACTTAATACTCTAAAGTCTGTTGTCAAGACAATTACACTGAAATTTCTAAAAAAAAAAGTGATCACGTTATACAAACGTTACCATGACAATGTGTTCATGTAAATGTAACTTGGAATAAAATACGTTGTATGATACGTTAATAGATATGTCTCTATGTGGGTTTTTTTTAGAGTAAAATCTTATTAGATATAGACATTAATTAATTAACAGAAAACTAGGGAACAAGTTTACCAAATGTCAATTTATTGATTTTCTGAGCTCTTTCTTGATGAATAACAAGTTCAATTACTGAGTTAACGTAAGTAAATAAAGAATTCTGTAATTAAGACTAATATATACATTCCGTAAGTTAACTGATTAAAGTGTGATAATCAAAACTCTGATTATTACGTAGAATAGATGGAGTGTCAATGGTAGTGTAACTCAAGCTGTAGCTCATCTATAGTTATTTCTAATCCAAAACCCGTGTAAAAAAGAAAGGTTTAGGATAGAGTCAAATACCTTATTCCTTAGAAAATAACGTTGCCAAAAAAACGTTAACCAGAATAAACATTTTAAACCATTTAAACTCTGTCCTCCGAGTTGAACGATCTTCACTCAGAAGAATCATGATGCCTCATGGTGAAAGCTGAGATTCTTCGGAAGTCACGAGGTTGACGTCCGTTCTAACAACCAGACCAATAAATTTTGTACGTATATAGAACGTTCGGACAATGTGGGAGACCGAGAGTACCACTTAAATAGCAATGGAAATGAGGAAGTAGAACTTGACGGTGCTTAGAATAAGTGAAATCCATTGCACACAATTTGGACAGAAAAGGATAGATTCAGGAGAAATGCTACTGTACACTGGTCATGGAAAAAAAAATGCTCCACACACTCATAGAGTTGCTGTGATACTGTCCAAAAAGCATGAAGATCACTTATAGGATGAGAATCTCGTGGATTTAGGATCATCAGTGCATCTTTCAAAACAAAGAAGGAGGGGGTTACAATAAAAGTTATCCAGTGTCATGCACCTACCAAAGATAGAAGGGGGAGACAATAAAAATCGGTTTTATGAGAGGCAGCAGTAGATTGTAGAGAAGTGCATAGGGAAATACGTAACTATCCTGATGAGAGACCTAAACGCCAAAGTAG